TGCACTAATCAGCCACTATCAGCTATTAGCATTATAATTATAATTATAGGAATATGGAGAAAGAAATGCTAAAATTAATGACATTGGAAAGTGCTAAATCTGACATTGGGCCATTTGGGGGAAATGATTAAAAAACAAACACCTATCCTACTGACAATGAAAAGACACTAAATACAATGTGTGACTAAGAAGACAGTGCAGGACACCCTAACTGCAGGCGTATGCCACTCTCAACAGTATATTCAACTACTCAACAAAGAGAGTGCCTAAATCACCCAATAATAATCATTGACGTTATTATCAGCATGACCATGAAATCAGCGACGGTGTTCCAAGGAGCACGTACCACCACATCTACAGTAGCATGATGCACACAATTGAACTGGATCTCTCACGTGTCTGCTATTCATTCTCCGCCTCCATGTTCAAAGAACATGAAGTCAATAAGGAACAGCGCTCCAAGCATGACACCCTTGATCTTCACGTCAAGATCCATTGGGAAACTGATGCCGAAGTTGTCGGCGTCCGTGAAAAATTCCTTGGTGAATCCCGACCACTGCTTTTGAATGAGGCCAACGTCCTGACCGTCCAAGGACCGGACGTGGAACTTCGGCGAGCAGGAGCAACCACTGCCGCACACCGGGGCGTGGATACGCAGCACATTCTGTTGACTCGCATCTTGAATCATGAACGTCGGATACAAGCAGGCGCACTTCTCCGTCGTCACGTAGCCGATGATGTTACCTGGAGGGGCCTCCACCTCCATATACGGACGCCAGTCGGCGCAGCAGCAGCTGGAGTCGCATCGGAGAGGACGCTGCATGCACATCACCTCTTTGCCAGCGTTGTCGAGGATGCTCATTTTGAACTCTCTGGCAGAGCCACAGCACTGGCGTTGGCAGCACTCGGACACCTCTGCAGCGAAGTACACTTGCTGACCAAGGGTGTTCTTCACCACGTATTTGTTTGCCTGCTCCCAACCAGTAAGGACCTCAAGAAGCTCGATTTTCTGATGAACAAGAAGCTGATCGATTTGCATCATGTATTCGAGACCTGGAGGACAGTTGGCTGGTGCCTCAGGAACTGGCATCCATTGGACTTCGCCTTTAGCTGGGGGCGCAGCCATACCGTCAGCCTGCTATTATTCTACCACTGCCCTTGCGTAAGTGACTTTGTCAAGAGAAGGAACGCAACGCAACGCCCTGCAGAATTGGGGACTCTCTCTCTCTCTTTCTCTGATCCCCGACTACTTGTACTTGTAGAGTTGTGGCCAAAGAAATACGACCCATATCCCGAAATAAGCACCAAGGGTGAGGGTGGGACCCTGCACTACGGCTGCAGCCCTTCAATGGGTTTTGCACCATGCATGAAATGGGAACGCGGTTACGCCGGTGTTACGTCGTTTCACTAGTCGGTCGGATTTCTTGGGCCACGACTGAAAGATTAGCAGTCTGTTGTTTTCTGGACGGGTCGGTATGCGATCGGCGATCGCGATCGCGATCGGTAGCGCACGTAGATCTACTACAATAATTATACTTGTTACTTGGTAGTTCTACAATACTACATGATTGTATGTGACGAGGTGACTGCCTGCATGCAGTCTGTAAAAGAACGTCCACGGTCCAGGCACGTGCACGGCTTCACACTCACACTACACGGAGCTCCGGAGCTAGAGCGCGCTAGTGCAGAAGTGCGAAGGTGAGAGTGCAGAGCCAAACATCATCAAGAACGACGTGCGAATGTGTTCTACTATGCATAATAATCTACTTCTTGTGCACGGAGAGAGCTCTTGTTATTGGTCGGGAAGTTTTGCACACACAGCGGTGCACCTGCGCTGCAGGCTGCACGGCTGCAGATAACTGATAAGAGCCACACGCACATGCATACTTGGCACGCTGCGCGCCACTATGGGGCTGTTAAGTGTGACGTCACGGCTCCTTCGATACGCATAGCAACGGAGAGCACTGGGGACAAACAAAAGTCGCGTCCTCTGGATGGAACCAGATGTCAAGGGCAACAGCATCTAAATGACTGGAGAGACAGCAGTTTTTCTTTGCTTTTTCTTCAAGCGATTGTTGTCGCTCTTTACTCTTTGTTCTTTCCTCTACAAAACTCCTGTAGTCGTCGAGTGTCTTCATTATGGCTGTGAAATTGGCTGCCCACAGTAAAACTCCGTGTTTGAGAGTGCTTTGAAGATGTTTCGCGTCCTGATGGATCAAAGTATGAGCGCTCCTTGTGGATTCGATTATACATGTAGGTGAGCAAGAAATCAGTGTCTTTTTTCTGTCTCTGCCCTCACGCTGGCACAATATCAGCCTCTATATCCATGACAGCTCGCACCTCCCGTAAACTGCATGACTTAGATAATATATTTTCGCCCTCCGTGGTGATTGAAGACCCATGGAAGAATTTATTATGTTCAGAATGATGTCCTAAGAATATAAAATAAAATAATTCTAGGGAATTGTCATAGGGTATTTTTGGAAGGATGGAGACAGAGAGAGAGAGAGAGAGAGAGAGAGAGAGAGAGAGAGAGCACTGTTTGAAGTGTTTGTCTCACTGTAATTACTCCAGATTATTGAATGTTGTATTGTAGTATCCCTGGCCCTACTTATAACCAACTCTTGTCCCACCGGTTACTCCTAAGTGCTTTTCCCAGCAACCACTTTAATACTTTGAAGTAGGACTACTAGACAACCCTGCCTGCAGACCGGTACGGCATGACCTGTATACATGTTGCACACATTCATGCTGTACTACATTACATTGATTCCTATAGCCCGTTCCTCATCACTAACTCTTTTGATTACTAGTTCTAAGATATCTTCCGCTTCTCTTCTTCTGCCAGATGTCTTCCCAGATCTACTCTATATTTTCCGCAATGGTTTTTCCTGATTTGCGGGATCTCTTCTTTTGCTGTTTGCGTGTTTACAGGAAGTGGCTGCTGTCTGGTGTAACTGCACCAGATCCTGCGGAAATTAAGTCAGATGCAGAGGCAGGGTCGTCCAGTGATGCAACACTGCCGTTCTGTGTGCAACGTTACCGCTAATACCCCCGGCGAAAACACAAAAAAGACAAACACGTGAAAAGACTACAGTATTGACCGTTTTGCTAATAAATGCTCCGACAGTCGATAATCGAAACACAGAGCACCAGCATGATGTTTTCATATTGGAAACCACACAACAGCTCAGTTCTCAAGCCCAAAAATTGATGAATACAAATACAGAGCGACGCAACAAGAGATCATCCGGCAACCAAACAAACCTGGGTCTAATGCACTGAATAGTCCTGAAATACGCAGGCCAGACAAAGCAGTGCAAGCACATAATGTTACAAGGTACATGCATTGCAGAACAAAGTGTAACCAAAGATACACAGGGTTATAGCTGCACACTTGTGCATGTGCTCGCTCAGCCCAAGAACACACGATCATGATGATAGAAACAATCCGGGGGAAACACGCTAACACCGAAGTAAGCATCAACACGTAAATAGTGCAGCTCTGAAAAAATTACATTGACATGAACATTGGTGTGTCGAGTAGTATCAGGCTTGAATAATCATCCAACCAAGACTTCATCAGGTCCCAGACGCTGAGATCGCACGCCGAATGTGAAGTGCATCTAGCCTTGAACCTGTCGCACAAGGCACACATATATGGCAAAATGACATCCACTCTGATTATTTCCAGAGGCCAATCATGCCAGAACACAGAAATGAAACCACGGGCTCAACCAAGTAAACGCAAAGGAAGCCAGTCAAAATAATCCATGCAGTGCTCTTTTAATTGCAGCGCTGATTGCAGTGTTGCGTCATAGCCCGATACCCGCTGAGCACAGACACAACTCCATTCGTCAGGGGCAAGACATACTCTTTCGGAATAAAGTCATAAAGTACAGCGTTCCAATGACATTACGGACACCTCGTGCAAATGCATGGTCTGTTCATCTGGCGGACTCGGCCACGCATGAGAGTGTGTGCATGTACATGCGCACGCGCACACACACACACCATGTATTCGGTGCGTATGGTGTACCAGTTGCGGGACAATGAAGATGGAATCATTATCATGATGTTACATGTACATGTACAGTGTATGTTTGAGTGTAAAGTAAATTTATTTTATTGCACATTTCTTCGACACAACTAATTACTTATTTCACATGTTCGCATTTCTCATAATCGATCCACCTGCACTCCGTATCAGTCGAGGAAAAATTCTCCCAGATACACACTAGTCACCACAGCCATGTGATGACATTGGGATGGGCCCCAAGCAGTGCACGATTGCACTCTCTAGTTACAATAAATTTGGCCAGATTATCTGTGAAGAAAAAATGCAATGCATAGCGGCAATCGATGGATGAAGAGAGAGTTTGTAAATACCCATATCTTTCCACTTGTTCAGGAGCTTACCTTTTGGAGTTCACATCGTTTACACGATCTCTCATGCTGTCTTGCACCTTGGTTTTGTTGACCATGGATACGCCAACCCAGAAAACATTCTACAGGAGCTACTAATGCAGAGCGTTTTTCACGCTCGATCTCGGCGATCTACCTTGTCACGCCAATAAAATCCTCCGTGACACTGGCTACAGTCACAAGAGACGTCTCAGTAAGGTAATGAGCACGACAACATCGTCGAGATCAAGGACAAAGAGAAAACAAAACACTCACTGAAAACAGCAAAGAAGAAACGAAGAAATGTACACGATTCCTATATGTTGCCACTGACAACTGGTTCGGTGGAGACGACGCTACTTTTGTTTGTCCCCAGTGGGATCGTTGTTATGCGTATCGAAGGAACTGTGACGTCATCACTTAACAGCCCCATCAACACGCTGCCTAGCCTAGGCTAGGCACTGCGCTGAGCTGAGGCGCCTCAGCTCAGCGCAGTGCCTGATGCCAGTAATCTGGTGATCTGGTGTCTGGTGATGGCTGAGTGATATATGTAGATATACTAGATATACTGTCGACGATGTCGTGGACATGGAAATCCGGTCGCACGTCTAGTAATAATTTAGCTAACCGGTCCCAGCGCGCTGGCCATGCGCATATGCAGCCGGGATAAGCCGTAGATGGTAGCATCGGATCAACAATGACAAGACACATGTGCACTGCACGCAGCGTTCTCGCCGTTATTAACGTTCTGTACGCGCTGAGGGCGCCGGCCCCGGTCAATCGACTGGATTTCCATGTCCGCTGCAGTAGTACAGTCATGTACATGTATGTACATGTATGTAGCCAGCCTAGCCTACGTAGCACTTGGTGGACAATGGTGGAAAATATTTTGGCAGATTCTGTTTGAAAAGCTGAAAAGCATTCTCCGCCAGGCAAGGCCAGTCAGAGTACTGCCAGCCAGATACTAGGTCTAGGACAGTCATACGTAGCCAGATAATCACCTCACTGTAAAAGTCATTGGTCTCAATACGACTCCCTGAGCTGAGTAATACATGACACAATGTACAGTATTGTCATGTACATGTACATGATGTACATGTACATGATGTACATGTAGCTAGCTGCAGCTTCTTGAGCAGAGGGCGCCGGCCCAGGTCATTCGACTGGATTTCCGATTTCCATGTCCGTTCTCCCTTTTTCCTTTTTTTATTCTTCGGGAAACACTGAATTGAGATAAACATAATTATGACGTCATGCTAGACTAAGCTCAGATCAGGGCCCTACGCTTTGCTTTTTTGCCTAGCTCATCATGTAGAGTAGAGCCCACATGTGCAATAATTCAACTCATTTCATAATACAACTTACAAGCGGTAGTTTACAATTACAATTATTACAAATTACCTTCATCAGGTTCACAATGATGTGCAAGCTCTCAAACCAGCATGATGAAGGCCAACTCCCCAGTCAGTATAAAACTATTAAAAGACTAAGAGCTGGGTTATTTTTATGAAATGACCCAAAGGTAGTATGCCGAATTTAGGCACCGGCGGATTATGCCGGCATAATTATTGGCATAATTTGGTGATTGAAAATTTTGAGCTTAATTTGGCATCCTCTCGGAGGTAGGAGCATAACTACACGATTATACCACAGTTGTAGTATGTAGGCTATACAATTGTGTACAATGCACCTGATCAGTGCAGGTGGTCTGCATGGCAAAGGGTTCGGAGATCATGCAGATAGTGTTTTCAATGAAAAGCAGGATAGAAATCATGGCGATACATTATTGTATGCTCGAACTCGTCTTCTTCAAAGTTCTTTCTCACACTGACACAGTACATGTAGCAGAAGATGCGAGTGAATCAGCCTTCATCAGGTATCCCGGGGCGGACGAGATAGTGGCGGGCATTGCTGATCGAGGGGTTCATTTGATTGAAAGAACATTACTACTACTAGTATGTGCAAAGACAAGAAGGGATTAGGCACCGGTGGATTATGT